TATATATATATATATATATATATATATATATATATATATATATATTCAAACCATAAACGTTCATGCATCCTCTTGAAACAGGCAACTAGCATTATCGGTCACGAACGGCAACAGTCGGATAGGCTAATCCTTCCCACGTCTGATGAGGATCCGCCTATACCAAAAGGAAATACTCGCGGCGCTTATTTCGACCGTCGAATGGACGAGATGAGTCGTCACTTCGATACAGTAAGTGAATACTAATACTTATATTAACATTTTTTTAATGAGCAAACTAGCTACATTGTATCGTACAGGATAATTTATTTTGCGTTCTCCATAACATCATATACTCTTGTTACAGTTTTCGTGGCTGCTGTCGGTCAATCTAGGTTGGGAAGGTGGTGTTCACGTACAAACTTGTGGTCATCACCTGCACTTGGACTGTTTGAAATCTTATCTGCAGTCCCTACGTAGTCAACAGAGGCAGCAAAGTTTGGCGGTGGAGCGAGGTGAATACTTCTGTCCACTGTGCCGGCAACTGGCTAACTCTGTCCTGCCGCTCTCGCCGCAACTGGGCGAATGTGCAGCAGTAGTGCGATCTCGTCATACCTCCACGGTCACTATACTCTCAGAATTAAATAATTTCCTGAAGGAGATCCAACGAAATCCGGTATGTGTACGCAACAAAATATAATTATAATTTTTTCTCGATGTGACTTGTTAAAGATATTCTTAATATATTACAAAAATATTTTATATAAATCATTTATTACAAAATATTATTTTTATTTTTATGACTGTGTGACGCTATGCAAAGAATTATATATGATATATATAATCGAAAATATGCATTCTGTAATTACATGCTTATTTTTGTTTCAGATCTCTTCGAATTTGGCTATCGCAATGGGAAAGGCGATGGAGGATATGACGAGTTGCACGTATTTAAAGTATAAGCAAAAGAACTGTTCTCCTAGTCACCAAAGCTTGTTCCTCTTCGTAACTTCCGTAGCACGAACTAACTTCGAGATTGAACTCGTACAACGTGGCGGTTCGTTGTGTGCTCCACCGCCCACGACGATACCTCTGACGCCTAAACGCGATTGTATAGGTACGTTAGTGTCTCCTGACATTGACTTATTAAACAAAATTTTGTTTAACGTTCGCTCTCCTACTTTCTATACAAAATTTGAAATGTTAGAGTCCTAATAACGATTATATCTCTTTCGTAATTTTTTTGTTCTTTTTCTCGGAGAATCGTCTTTACCTTCTCTTTCCGTGTTCTTTTGCAGTCGCGCTTCTTCATGTTCTGGCAATGCACGCCCGAGTGCTAACGACATGGCCGGTGCATCACACGTGGCAGCAATTGTCCGGTATGCCGCCGGAGCCAGTGTCCTCACTCGCTTTAACACCGCACGAGAAGGAAGTTCCACTCCTTCTCAGGGATCCAACCGCTCTCCTTATACAATTTATATTATTGTTACCGCTGCATCTAGATCAAAGTATGTATTTTGCCTCTATAAATATTGTTTTGCACGTTTTTATTCTCATATATGTATCTATATTGACGCACTTTTCGTTCGCAGCGTACTTCTCCAGCGTGGTAAAAGTCATTTACAACTTGCTGTACTATCAAGTAATACTGCAGATAAGCTGTAACTTCTCGCAAGCCGAACGAAACACGATCCTAAAAAGGAGCCGTTGCGGCTCAGCCACGTCTTCGGAGACGATACTGGCAAAGATTATTGAATATTTTGATGAAAGCGAGCTTTATTCCGACGACGACAGTGAGCTTTATTCCGACGATGACAGCGAAGTCTCCTCGGATGACAACGCTTGCAAGCCATCCACATCTTCCTCCGCTTCCTATGCGAGAGTGAAGACACACTGCGTTGAGCAACAGGTATTTCCTAAACAACATGTAGAATCACATATATGTCAAAACAACACTATAATAACATATCTTTATTTTATTAAACTTTATTTTTTAAATATATATATTTACCTGTATGATTTCTCGATCGTTCAATTTTAGATCCAATCTTTGTGCCTGCCATTCTTGCGAGTGGCCTCGTTATTGCGTTATCATTTGTACGAACAACCATTGCCGCTAATCAGGACACCACAGAGCGAATTCGTGCGATTAGTATACTATCTGGAGTTAGTAACGGAGGGCATGGACTGGGACAGTTTTAATTCCACGGTAGCACTCAATTGGCAGGACAAGGAAGCGAGCGTCTCGGTGCCGCAACTGTGGTGTGATCAGCTGCTAGCATTCGTCAACCGTTTCGTGAAGTTAGCTGAGCCAGCCAGGAGCCTGATTGTGGAACAACACATATCGTGGCAGGTGCCAAAGCTGCTCAGTTTGCCGAGGGAATACGAGAAAATTTTCACCGTAAGAATCCCTTAATTCTTAAGAAACAAAAAGAAAAAATCAACAGACTTTAATCATTAAAACAGCTGTAGTTTTTTTTAAATACATTATATAAGTATGTTTGAGTATTCTAAATTGAAGAATTTACCTTTGATAATGCTGTGTCGCTCCCATTTCGTATTTGTAACTTGTGTATTATTCTTTTAGTATTATCACGAGCGACATTGTGGTAAGTGTCATTCGATCCCTCAGGAGATCAGTATCTGTTTGTTATGTGGCACTATCGTCTGCCTCAAACAAAATTGTTGCAAACAGATGAACGTGTACGAGGCTATACAGGTGAGCACGTTTTATTATCACGCGTTTTATTAGAACAACAGAGAATGAATTTATGTACAAAGAACGGAGTTTTATGTAGAAATCTTTTATTCTCTTTTCAGCACTCAATCGATTGTGGAGGTGGAACTGGTATATACCTCGTAGTGACCTCAACCTATATCATCGTAATACGAGGTAGGCGAGCGTGTTTGTGGGGATCTTTATATCTCGATGATTTCGAAGAGGAGGATAGAGATCTAAAGTAAGTATAAATTATTTTAAAATATTAATGTGCATTAGGAGATAGTGTGTATATATATTTAAAATATTAATTATAAAATAGAAAATGGTTCGCGATGATCGCAATCTAAAAGCATAGAAATTTAAAATCTATAGAAAGCAGCAAAAATTGAATTTCGATATATATATATATATATATATATATATATATATAATTTTATAAATAATTCTCCTTTGCGTGTGTTGTAGACGTGGCAAGCCGCTATATCTCAGTCAGGACAGGTATCAACTATTAGAACAACAGTGGTTAGCGCATCGATTTGATCATACGAAGAAAACATGGGTGTGGCATCGTGATGCTCTGTGACCCATCACGACGTCATCGTACGCAGGTCGCTCGTAATAATTTTCTAAGACGAAGACTCAACTCTCGCTCGCTCGCGTTTACAAAAACTCCCGATTCCGTTTTATCCCTCACGCAAGCAAAAGAAATGCCTCGCCTGCAGTAACACAGCGCTTTTAGATCTAACAGAGAGACGACCGCACTTCCCTGTCTCCTGCCTTCCCCCTTATAATGTCCTTCAGATATTATATATTTATTATATGATGCGCAATCTCACATAAGTAGACATTATTAACGACGAATGAAAGTATTAAGAATACTTGTGCATCCTCCCCAGAGGAGGAGGAGGAGGAGGAGAAGGAGAGTGAAAAAGATGATAATAATAATGGAGAATTGTGCATATATATAGTCACGCGTAAATTCGAACGACAATTACGTTTTATAGAGACCGTATTATTACAGTCTCAAGTTAAAGATCTGTACATTTTATTTAAGTGTACATACATATGTATATGTGTATATGTATATATACATATGTATACATATATATGTACACACATACATATATATACATATAGATCCTGCATCCTAATGGTAAAAAAGAAAAGAAAAGAGTACTTATTTAGTACGTAGCATTTGTACTTTCTAGGAAAAAATACTATACTTGAGTGATAAAATGATCAGAATAAATAATGGGAGGTGAAAAAAGGAAACCCGCATCCGCATAGCTTCATTTCCGTTATGTTACTTGTGAAAAATCAATTTAACTTTACATAATCGTTAGCATTGATCAAGTATAATGCTTTAGTAAATAAAGAACAAAATTCATGACTAAAGTCAGAGAATTTACAGATCATGGAATGTTTACGAATTTTAAAGTTTTCATAATTGAAAACTATAAAAGTAGGTGTTGGCCCTTTCTCTTCTAAAGTACAGGTGCATACCTTGATTTTGTTTTTTTATTCATATCTTAGCAGCGCTATAAATAATTGGTTGAAAGCGCGAGAACGATGAGAGATAAAGAAAAGGAAAATAAATATGACGAAGACTGACGTCTTGAAATGCTTTCTATAAGAATATTCTATATTTATCTGCCGGATAAAACAAAGATATTATAGAAACTACATTATCAGAGACTATTTTTATTATTTTTAGTACCCGATATGTTATTTAATCTTCGCGAAATGAGACAGAGCCGTGCATATGAGATAAACGCGAAGGAGAACATACTAGGAGATAAACGTAAATAGGAGTGATCTCTGCACGAAAAAACGACAAGAATTCAAAACGAGAATCTGTCAATTCTTGTTTGCAAATATATATGTCCATTTATATTCTGCCCATCGATTCACATATCTATTGCATCAACCATTCACAATGATTAAATTGCGGATTTAAAATTTCTTCTACTTGTGCTCGTAATCCTGCTCAAAAGTCAGTTGATGATTGGTGTTGAATTACTTGATGTTACATTCACTTTGCCTGTGAGAGCTGATCTTCGTGTATTTTTCTTGTTAAAACAATGAAGACAAGATTGTACTTCGAGCGTTCCCTGCTTCTCATCCTCGTGTATTTCTCTGTCTTAACATTCACCGACTTTCCTTAACGTTTTCCAGACGTTAACAGCACAATTGGTAGTGTTAACTTTTTTGGAGTCTGCTTTATCGGAATCGTGATGTGTCTCCCTTGATAAGTGTGAACTATTATTTATTTCGTAAGAAACAAGTTCTGTACCATTCTAGACATGCCCCAGATAGCACAAGATGTCCTAAAATCATCTTAGATATGCTCAAAATATGTGATACTTTCCAGGCGTTTTGGACATGTCCAGGATGATTCTAAGATGTCTTATGTTACTTACCGCTATACAACAGAAATCCTTGATTTTATCGATGTACAACCTTGAGTTGATGGGTATGTTATAATTGTAAAACCGAATCGACAGCTTCTCGTTTCAAGACGCAGCACTAGCTGCACGAGAGAACGACGGTCCGATTTGATGACAAAAAGTATGCATGAAGAGAGAGAGATGTCCGTTACATACTTCTGGCGAAGTAATCGATTGTACCGTCTATTCTCGAAAAAGAGCGCTGGTATATGCACACTCGTTTGTAAGTTTTTTCCAATAAAATTTGAATAAAATAATCACGATTGCGAGATATTGCTCACAAGCTTGCATAATCGTGCAAATCGGAAAAAACATATGCAAACGAGTGTATACGGAGTGACCCATGACGACTCACGAACTCAATTTTAGCGACGATCTCTTTGATCCATTCTTACAGGCAATTTTTCAGAAGTAGAAAAAGGAAAACAGAATAGTTATAGTTACAGGATAATTATATTTATATACCCTTTTCTCATCTTATGCTTGTTTATTCACGCAAGCTATGATGATTATAAAATAGTGATATCGTCTGAGTCCAGTTTAAGAAACGATATCGCGTTTAGTTTTCGATAAAGATTTTGAGATGTTGACTCTATGATAATACGTCGAATTTTCAGCTAGTGTCACTAAACCTTGTCTTCAAATTCTATTGTGTCAACTTAAAATTATTTGAAGGACGTAATTTTGTTAAAGCTTATTTCTTTTTGATGAGCAAGATCCAGACGAAAATTATATTATTTTCATAATTATTAGTTATATTAACAAAATTACATGAATTAATTTTAAAAAGACTTTATCTTCGTAGACTTTCGATTATAGACTTAGTTATGAAGATATGTTAGAAATTCGGTCGCGATCAGAGTCCGTTTTTGAAATTGAGCTTGTGTGTCATCCTGCATATATACATTGACTTCTTGATATGGACTTTCACAAACTCCCTATACTGTAGTAAATACGTTAAAAATGAAATTGCTTCTTCTAGGGTACATTTTCGTATTGTAAATATGTAATAATGTTGTAGCTCGCCACATATTACATTATATTAGTCAATGCTCGAGAGAGAGAGAGAAAGAGAGAGAGAGAGAATGATTTGTATATAGCTACATAATTATTTTTAGGAGTATCTTTGCTTATAATATAAGAGTCTATATGATGGAACACATACAATTAAAGAAAGAGCTGATGATTAATGAATTATTATATAATTATTGATTATGTTTAATGTATAAATAAAAACGATTTAGTCGAAGACCCATTTCGTCACTTTTATCGCTTCATTAAAATGATATTATCTCGTAACAATTGTTGAGAAATAATATCTTAGATTGATCCTCTATCGTAGTTTATAATCATTCCAAAAATTCTTAATAATACTTTAAGGTTTCTGGCCCCTTGCCGCGGTCATCTTGATTTATAATGCCAAAAGCGATCAAATACACGTTAAAAATTATAAAATACGTAGAAATATATAAAAATATATATCTATAAAATGACGCAATCGATTGAGATATGTAAAATAGCCCCCTTCTCCTCTCCGCGATCACTTCTCTTCTTCTAACAATCAATAAATAATCGTACAATTAATATGACATGCAACTTTCATCATTAATCTATCTTTTCTCATGATTAATCACGTTAATTTTATGGTTATTTATTGATTGTTACAGCAAAAGGTAAATGTTTAGACTATTTTACATATCTGGATCTCGATTACGAATATAATTTTAAGGATACATCTTTTTATTTCAACCTGCAATGTTATAAGAATTTTTAGCGTGCATTTTCTCGCTTCTGACGTTATTAATCGGGAGTCCCGCGCTAAGGGATCAGGAATTATAATTATCCAAAGAATTCAAGACAAATTGTTGGATTTATTTCCTTAAATTTGGAATTTTCATATAAATTTATGAAAATAAGTCATTATTGTGTGATTTGTTAGACTACTTGCACATATGCAGAGAATTAAAATTTATATTACATAAAGTATTTATAACGAATAATGTATTCTCGCGTGAAGTTACATATATGTATATTCACAAATTTAAGAAAATATACATAACCATATTATTATATATTTTTTTAAAATACACAGGCAATTACATATAAGTCAAAGAATTTCTTATATTTCTTGAATCACTAATACAGAGATTTCATATTAGCGACGGATGTAAAATATGCTTGTAAAAAAACATTCGGGCTCGTTAATGTATGTTTAATGGTTTTTTATATCTAAAATGTCACTTAAACATACTATTTTCTTCTTGCACATAAGAACTTCATTACAATCAATCATTATTGTTATTAATTTTTATCTAAACAATGCGGAAGACCAAAGGACATTGTCAAAATATTTCAAATGGTGCTTGAACATTTTTCGAACATCCTTTGAGCGTACTTCGAATTCCGTTTAAACTTTCGCGTTGATAGATATGAAACTATTTAAGTGTTCAGGTAATTTTTACAGAAAAGTAAATTGTTACATAAATTCGATACAGGATTTTGTCTTAACATGTGTAAATATAGTATAACATGTTTATAGATTCGGTACTCTTATCCCAGAGATACGAATTAATTACATCAATAGTACACGTATCGAATTTCATGATCTATAAAAAGTAAGAAACGTTGGTTCCTTTCCTAAGAGAGCAAAGTGCTGATCTTGAATTTTCGGAAGTTGCACTTCGCGAACCACTTATCGTTGCAATCGTTCAAAAGAAGCGACACAAAAAAACTTAAAATTATCATTACTTTTATTACAGGTATACCTCAGACGTAACAATTTTGTCATATCATTTTTGCATTATTCTGTATTTCCCGTGAAACAGAAAAAGAAAGCAAAAAACATTAGAGATGTTTGAGAATAAGCAAGAAATGCTTTGAATTGCCTGAACACATTTTAACAACAAATGATTTCTTATCTTTGTTGATATTACAACAATGGTAAGAAAAAAAAGACAAAATATATAGTCATATTCCAGTACAACTGTCGATATAAATGTTTTATGATTGAATTAATGTTTTGTACCGCATGAGGTTTGCCTTTTGGTAGAGGAATGTATGACAGCACATTTTACAACATCATGTGAAATCGAAGAGTTTACAATATTGTTTGTTAACCTGTGTGTTGTGTATCTATATATGCGTACTTATAAACTTGTCCATTTCTTTTTGTTACGAGTCACTTTCACTTTAAAATTATCAGAACGAAATGAAGACTCCCACCTGACTACTCAATAGCGACCACCAGTCTGTTCTTGATATACTTCGATAACATCATCATTTTCCATTTCAAGCTGAAAACAATCACATAATTAAAATTATTTCTGATGCAACACAAGAAGAAATCTAAATAAGTACATATGAATATACTATATTTATAAAAAAATATTAATATTAAATTAAAGATAAAGCTTATTATAATGAAGAATGACTTGCCTGCTTTGGTGTTTCATCATCATTAATTCTTTTACCATCAAAAAGAAACCTAAGCGATGTCATAGGTACACCCTAAATAGAACTTATTTCATTATTATATGGAATATTATATATACACTATGAAATAAAATTCAATAAGAAAAATATAATATTTATGATTATAACAAAATATATATTGTATGTTAACATACTTCTTAAAACATATTAATTAACTAAAGAAAACAACTATTTTGCAGTCAGTATTTAACAAATTAATTTTACAAAGTTCTATATAACGTAAAAAACACGTACCACGCGATCGCTGTAGGATTTCTTCAATTTACCCATCTGAGTGGTCATCTTTACCCTAAAGTGAATTTCATTGCTGTCCTGAAAAAAGAAGGAGAAATCTTATGTGTACGAATCTTACGCCAGTACGAACAATCGTAAAAATATAAAAAAAAAAATAAAAATGGTATGTGTACACATAGCTTACGTTTCCGACAACTTTGAGCTTGATGTACTCGGAATTAGCATCGCCTGGGCCGGCTTCGGGTTTTTGTTCCTAGTAAACGACAAGGTTATAGCTCAAGCTTTGAAGTCGGCAAATCGAAGTAATATTCCAAAACGGATTTTAATCAGTGCTAGCCATTCGGCGCAATTATTATCACCGAACAACAAGAAATGCGAGGAACGCTGTAAGATTCTTACCTGATTGTCCGACATCGTTATCAATTAAATATAACAAATTCTTCACCACGCGCCAGAAACGGTAACCAAACACAAGCTGGCAATATGGCGCCCCGATTTTGTCAGTCTCACAGCCTACCACATTCTACTCCAGCCCGCCGGTAAGAAAAAGCTCAACGGTCACCATGTTCATAAACTTATCCGTTTGGGGAATTCGACAGAACTAAAATGTTCGATTTTCAGCCTTGGGTACAATAAAAAAAATATATTAGAAATAGGAATAAATATTAAATATTTAATATATATATATATTATATATTTAAAATTGTTTATTTTTTTATATCTAAAATTATGTCATTTTTATTTCTAATTACTAATTCCTAATTTGTAGTATGTTAGTCTATTCTGTTCTTTTGTTTTGAATAAAATAATTCTATTTTATTCAGAAACGCGAACAAATCTAATGCTCCGTTTAGTTATATAGATCGTTGTGAATACCGGTTTAAGAAAATATAATTATTTTATTTAAAACATATGTAATAACTTCTGCACACAGGGAATACCTGCCGCGCAGTAAAAAGCGACGCAGTAGCCAATAAACTTTCAGCTTTCATGGATCAACAACATTGATTGGCTACCACATTGTCAATAGTAGCAATAAATATAGGCGTTTTTTCATTTCGTGACCACGGTAACGTTTGGTTGGTTAGTTTGGTCCACTTAACATTCGTAACGCCGCGAGCGTCAATTTATTAGCGTGTTCGACTGGCCCTGGGTTAATCGCTCCGAGAGCGATTAATGACGTCATAAATTTCTATTAGCCAATCATAAAGCTTATAAGTATTTGTTTGACCAATAAACGTAGGCTGAATAACCCAGAGTGGGTTAATCCAGAGCCAATCGAATATGCTATATTTTTGGCTTGGTTTACATTGTGCACTTCATACACGTAACTAAATAGTAACTTTGTATTAGATAATCTTAATATCGAAGATATATATAAACAACGGTATATTAAGCTGGTATAATATTTATCAACAAAACATATTATAATGATTGAATGCGTCGCCCTTGATATGCATTGTCGATATTAAGATTATCTAATAGAAAGTTACTATTTAGTAACTATTAGTAACTATCTAGTAACTTACTATTTAGTAACTATTAGTAACTATCTAGTAACTTACTATTTAGTAACTATTTAGTTACTATTTATGCGTATCAAGTGCACGATGTAAACCAAGCCTTTGTTACTCGAGGCGTTGCGAGCGTTAAGTGGACTAAACCAACCAACCAAACGGTATCGTGGTCACGAAACGAAAAAACGCCTAATATCGCAGTCACAGATGCTGTTTATAGCCATCACTATTTTGATTCCTCGTTAAGGAAAGTAGCGGCTCGTAGCGGAAACTTTAGAACTAAATGATCCATATAGATGTTTATAGCCATCACTACCTCAATTCCGCGTCCTGTGTGCAGAAGCCATTAAGCCCGTATCAGATTACCGATTGCACAGGCCGACCCGACCGCCGACTCTCAATGGACCAATCACAGTGAGGCGCCGACTCTGCGCCTCACTGTGATTGGTCCATTGAAAGTCGACAGTCGTAGTCGGCAGTCGAGTCGGCCTGTGCAGTCGATAGTCTGATGGGCTTTAGTTCCAAAGTTTTCGCTACGAGCCGTTACTTTCCGTAATGACTCCTGTACACAGGACGCGATAATGCTTGCCGCGCGGCAGAAGTTCGCGTGACAGCTAATCAATATGCTGCTTTCCGTAATAACCTTCTAGCTCTTACGGAAAAACAACATATTGATTGGCTGTCGCGCGAACTTCTGCCGCGCGGCAAGCATTACCGCGTCCTGTGTGCAGGAGCCATAACGCGGAATCAAGGTAGTGATGGCTATAAACAGCATTTATATTTGATCTTTTATTCACAGACTTTTATAACGGGTCTAATGTACTCCTTAGACCCGTTATGTCCTCTATATCAAATGCACTCTGCAAGATCTTTGCAGGTTATGTTTGCGTTTATAAAGAGTAGTGGTTATGTCCCGTTACATAAATTCTTCCTTTAAATATTTAAAGATCAAGCTATGTATCCAAGTGATGATACTAGCATTATAATTAAAGATAATAAAGAAAAGAACGATAGAAAAAGTGTACGCAAACAAAAACGTGCTCATCATAGACTACTTAGGGATATGAATATTAAATGCTCCAACGATCCCACACAAGTAAGCATTAATTATTTATTCTGTATTTAAGCAAAATTATATGTAGAAATTTGAGTATAGTATTACTACTTGTTCAATTCTTTTTTCATTTTAACTGGATTTTAATTCAGAGCAACATACTTTGGATGTAATTTGAAAGTTATCGTAATCTATATCTAATTTCTTAATTTAATTTAAATTGTTTCGCTTATAAATAATATTAAAATATACACATTTTATCTTTTGTAGCATCTAATGATATGCAATGGTGGCTTAGTTACTGGCATAAAAAGAGAAACATTACAATGTGTATTAGATGCATTAATCTCAAAATATGTCTTAATAATGCCATCAGGCAAATCATATTGTTTCATAACATGTAACACAAAAGAAGATGCGACATGTGTATACAATTATATTCATGGACGCATTAAACTTCCAGGCCAAAATGGTCCACTATATGTCTGTTATACAGAAACAGGTAAAATGCTAAAAAATTATATAAAGCAAATATATTTAAATATAAATCTATATTATATCTCTATGTATAGTCATCTAATAATTATGATGTTATTAACACAGATATCATTACTAGTAATATATATAATATGTATTTTTTAATATTTAGATAATATTTTAATTATATGAATAAATAGATGTAAATCAAATTGCATAATACAAAATAATATAATAATGCTTTTTTACAGTTCCTAATATAGATGATATGAAGAATTCTGCATTTCCACCTGGTCTTATGTTAATACAAAATTTCATAACAAAAGAGCAAGAAGAAAGTTTGTTGAGAACGCTCAATTGGGACGAATGTGGTAAAATGCACTCTACAAGATGTCTATTCAAGACACACTCGTTATGTGCAAATAGAATTCGTCAAACTGAACACGAAATTTTGCAATCTATGTAGTTTTAAAAAATGTTAAATGTATTACAGAATCCGCCTCGTCGCAACTGAAGCACAGACAAGTGAAACACTTTGGATATGAATTCGAATATGGCACGAATACTGTCAATCCTGATAGGCCGATTACGCCGATTCCGCAAGATTACAAATTTTTACAGATCCTTTTTGATAAACATGGTCACAAGTACGTGTACGACCAATTGACTATTAACAAGTATTTACCTGGGCAAGGTAGCGCCTCAACGTTTATATCTTTATCAGCCCACAAGTTTACGTCCTAAAAATACGTAGAACGAAATCTTTTATATTATAATTACAAGTTCCCTCAATTTCTCCCTCCATTTCATGTTAATTGCAAATTTACGTTTTATATTTTTATATTTTCATTTTCTACAACAATCAATAGTGACAAATACTTCTATATGATAAGCATGCGTAAATTTGTGGACTGACACAAACAACGAACAATGTCGTTAAGATCTCTGATCGTGCAACAATTCAAGGTATACCACCACACGTCGACACGCATAGTGTTTTCGAGGACACGATACTGTCCTTGTCGCTAGGCTCGTCATGTGTTATGAACTTCAAGCGGTCGGATCGGAAGATCGATGTGCTGCTGCCAGCCAGATCGTTGTTAATTATGACGGGAGAAGCGAGATACGCGTGGACACACGGTATTTCTCTTCGTCACAGCGACGTGATCGACATAGAGAACGGTAGTACGACGCAGGAACGCGGCACCAGAGTGTCCTTCACTTTCAGAAAGGTACGGCGTGCCGGTGATTGCTGCTGCAATTTTGAAGAATACTGCGATAGCAAAGGACACGATGCTCCTACCTTCATCGACGCCAAAGCAGCATCAAGCCTGGAAAATTCATATGTACATAAAGTGCGTGAATTAAGTATACAAATTCGTACATTGTACGAATAATTTAAATCTCATTATTATTTCTTTTTACAGGCATGTAATAAATATATATTCAAATAATTATCAGCCATTATAAATATATTTATTAATATAGTAGATGTCAATTCATGAATATTTCATTTATATTATATATCATTATTAAAATTATAACTTTCAGGTTTACGAGGAAATTTCTAATCACTTTAGTGAGACAAGACATAAACAGTGGCCTAACGTAACAAAGTTCCTCGAAAATTTGGAAGAAGGCACATTGCTGTTGGACGTGGGTTGCGGAAACGGCAAATATCTTTGTGGAGATCAAAAAATATATAAAGTATTTCTTATCTCTTAATTATATTTTTATCTTGATTGCTTAATAAACTGGAATATATATTTTTCCCTTTCAAACTAATGCATCGAGTACAGTTGTCTCAAGATTTTTTATTGCTAATGCGTTATTAACTTAGATGATTGTTTCAGCTGGGATGCGATCATAGTTCGGGATTAGCGGAAATCTGTCGCAGGCGTGGGTTCGAGGTGTTGCTGTGCGATTGCCTGCATTTACCGCATCGGGACGAATCCATCGATGCGACGATTAGCATAGCTGTAATTCATCATTTATCCACACGAGAGCGACGGAAACGCGCCATCGCTGAGATGATGCGAGTACTCAGGCCGAACGGCAAGTGTCTGATCTATGTATGGGCAAAGGAGCAACGCAGGGATTCCGCGGAATCGTTCTATCTCAAATACGGATCTAAGAATAAGCAAGAGTACCGCGAGATCAACCGCAAGATTTCCGAGTGTCAATTAACGCTGCCGATTCACGAGAACAGAACAAATTTCGCTCACAGTGACATGCTAGTCCCTTGGAAGAAGAAGGGCGGCGAACGTTTCCTTCGATATTACCACGTGTTTCAGGAAGGCGAGCTCGCGGAATTGTGCGCGGAAATACCTGCAACCACGCTCAAGAACGTTTACTACGATCAGGGAAATTGGTGTGTGATATTGGAAAAATGTAGATAGATAAATTTACTGATGTATACAGAGATGAAATAAAAATTAGATTCACAACGATCAAGAATTAAGTTGTTTCTTGATGATTTTTTTGCGTTTCCACTTCTAATATTCTAAAATTTACATGTAAATTAAAAAGCATATCATGCTTGAAATACTTCCTTAATCTTTGTTATAAAAGTTAAATCAATGAATTTCTTCTCATGGAGTTATATAAAAATATGATATTAAGAAGTTACAACAGTTTATGAGAGCTACAGAGAATTAAGAAAACTTCAAAAAAGTGTTCAAGGATGTTAATTTCGGTTAATTTTTTAAATTTTATATAGTTTTACTGATTTGTATGAACTCGTAAAAAAGAGAAATAAATCCATCTTTTGTAACAAAATTTTTAGTTCCATAATGTTATAATATTATCAATTTTCTTCATTACCAAAATGTTGAAATATATTTTGGAAGAAAATACGGAAGTCGCACAATCACTCAATTGCTATCTTCCACGTAAATTTCATCTGAAATGCAGAAGAATATGTTTTGAATATTTACAATGTCCCACAAAAGACAGAATTCTGTATAATTAAAAATTGAGATAAAATGTACTAAAAATAATTAAGTTTATTTAATAAAATTTAAATAAAATATAATGGATATCATTGTTTACCTATGTTTGTTGGTGTTCTTTTTGTCGGAGTTCGCGACTTGACACATTTCTCATCGTTTGAACAATCGGAGTCATCCATACTGCTAACACTACTTTCCCTCTCAGGCGAATTCTATTGAAAATAAGACAGAAGAATATAATAATTAGGAAAACAAAAAAATTTACATGTTTGCGAGTGAATTGTATATATAAAGTGTCAGTACATTGCTGTACTATATATTTTTTGAGCAACTAGTCCAAATTCATAAAATATAAATCATATATGACAATGTGTGTCTATTAAAGAAAATGGTGCAATATAAAGAGATAAAAAATAAAGGAAATTAAAAAATTAAATACTAAGAAAGAAACAAAATTGATCCCACATTGAACATATATATAATTATACTTACTTTGAAGATAGGTACCAATTCAGCCGATCCTTCATGATGTTTTATAATACGACTACCCTCATTCTCTGTTTCCATACTTTCATCTGTAAATTGTTATCATTAAATTAAAATATGTATATATATTTAAAATACAACAAATATGTACATATATCTCTATATCTTATCTATCTTTATATATTTATAATATATTTAAGATACAAAATACATTTAAGATGGTTGATAAAAAAAATACAAATATTAATAAAAATTGAGATGCAATCATTTTAATTTAACAGATATAAATTTTAACACCTAATATTGTATACATGAAATTAATTTTATATTTTAATTATACATTTCGAAATAAATAAAGATACAAACATACCTTTAGTTATAGCTACTGCGTCCCATTTGCGTAGTTTGATACTAATATGATTGCCAATCATTGAGGTGAGTTTATCTGCATGAATGCTTTCTTTAAAACTGCAGATGTTGCTGTTATCTTTTTTATACCTAAAACATCATATATCATATAACTATTGAAAGATGTGTTGCATAAGGATAATATACTTTTTAAAATTATAACAATGTTAAAATTGTAAAAATATATTTTATTAAAACTTTAAGTGTATTTATTAAATATGCATAAAGAAGTGATATCCTAAATGTTTTTCCAATCTTATTTTATTGATATTATTTTATTTGTTATATACTTTACCTTGATTGCACATCTTTAGTTACTGTTTCCTTTATCTGCTGCACTAGTTTAGCTGCATAAGTCGCTGCGTGATACGAAACAGCAGATATTACATCTTCGACCGTCATGGTTTTTGTTAAGTAATCAAAATGTAAGCTACAGAGTTCTCTGTAAGAATTTACACCCAGAGTAAGCCGAGCAACGCCAACTCTTTCTTCTATGTACGTAGGATCCATTATGGTGTTACAACTGTAAATATATATATATATATATATATATATATATATATATATATATATATTTATATATACTTACTAAAATTGTAAAATATTAGTAATATAAACAAATGTTTAAAAAACCTTTCAAAAGTTATAAAAGATATGCAGACTGGATAATGAAACAATGTTAATGGTAGAAAATCCTTCTCAGAAGCTGGATGTATGATAACTTCTTCACCAGTGGAAGTAACATCTGGCCTATGAAAATGTAACAGAGCAGCAAGTGTCGCTATGGAGGCACAATCAATTAGATTCCCATCATGATTTATAACATTAATATCAATTCTTAGGTTCCACACCTGAATATAAATAAATAAATCACAATATGCGTATATTACATAGTAATATTATGCATTATGCAGAAATATTTAACTCTTAATTACTATAGTGAAATTCTACTCCACCAATAATAACAATGTTTTATCTTAAATGTCAAATCTTAAATTTTTATACAATATCAAAATAAAATTGAAAAATTTGTAGAATAAAATTGTTATAAGTATTTTGACCACATGAAAATCAATCTTACAGTAAAACATGAAATAGCCTTTAGAAATGTTTATAAACCCAAGTTTTAAGTTATATCACAATATCAATATCTTATCATTATAGTATTAAAGCTTAACAATGTCAAAAATATTCTAATAACCTTCTTATCTGCTACAATACACAAAGATTCCAAGTCTACGCACTTTGAATCTTTAAAGCATTTTTCCAGCTGTCTGCTGATCATTATAGCTGCCTCAGACTGTCTACCACTTTCAAAATTTTGGGCAGCTAACTGAGAGAGTTCAACATTTATATGTATCATGCCTTCATTAGGTCGAGATGTTTTTGGCTGTTGTATATCACATGATACTTGTGCAATTGCCCTAAAAAGAACCATCTTTTAATATTATGCAACATTATATGCTAACATCTCTATATGTCATAAAATATAAAGACTGGAAATATAAGACTGGAAATTTCATAATAGTCATAATTTTTAATATAAATAAGATTATTCAGATAGAATATGATAGTGAATACTAGTGATTCATTAGCAAAATCGCATATAAATTTATCTTTTATTTAACTTATCGATTTACTTTGTATTCCCGAGAGATACCATGCAACATCCCCAATTGGATCCAAAGTAAATTTTCACGGAACGTGCCTCTAATAAATTCCGGCCGTCTAACCTCTAAAACATAATAAATTCATTATACCAATTTTACATAAAATATATAATTACATATATACAAAAAATTAATGTTTTAAATAGCCTAATAAATTTATAATAATTAAAATGAGTACATACCGTTTCCTCCTCTATACATTTATTAACAAAATTCCGCTCGCAGTTTGTAAGCAAAGTCTCCCTCATTTTTAAAATATTTTACGCAACACGCATGAAATGTTGAAATTCTCGAAGTTATTATCTTCTTGGAATATATTCATACACAAAAAACAATAACCTATAATAGTTTTGATATAAATTATATTATTCTAGTTTAACCGCCGCTACGCAGACACGTTTGTTTAGGTTGCGTTCCGTTTCACGCATTATGCGCGCATTGCCTACAATATATGTAACATGAACTATAGATAAATGCGCGCAATGCGTGAAACGGAACGCAGCCTTAGACATAACCTGTGACTTTTTTGAATGTACTTTGGAAGAGAATTTGAATAGTGCAAAAAAAGAAAAAACAAAATTAAAAAAGAGATATTATAAGTTGCATAACCAAAAATATTCACGGGAAAGGTTGAAGACTTGGTAAAGGGTGCGGTCCAATAACCGCTGCAAATGTTATGTAGCGTTTCTCCCTCTTGTTCTATTCCTCGGATTCGAATGAAGAAAGAGAAAGAAGTAAAAACGCTACAAAGCATTTGTAGCGGTCGTTGGACCGCACCTATAAACATATTATACAATTTAAAAAATTCAATATATAGAAAAAGTAAAATACTTCCATACTTTTGGTAACTGTCATTGAATTTTATACAACTTTACCTAAAATCAATGAATAGTAAATTCTTTTAGATAACAATTGTTATGTTTGACTTACCTAGTATAATTTTGTACATTTTTCAAACGTACACACATATGGTATATAATTTTGTAATATATACATTTTTAATAAAATATATGTTATTTTTGTGAAAAGATTTATCTTTTTATTCTTCTTACAAGTAAATTAAATCAAAAATGTTCTAATGCAAATAGTATTAGTTCTAATACAAATAATATTAATTCTAATATACAAATATTATGATGCAAATTTATTTTTATCATAAAATGTGGAATAAGTTTGATTTAAAATAAGAGAGAGGTATATATTTAAAAATCTCGATATTTCTCACGTAAGATGACGCAAGATATCACAGTTTATATGTTACATTGATAAATAAAGATTGATACGATCATAATCCAATATATATGGATTCATCATCGTACATTCTTTATAACTTATTTTACGTGTCTTATTTCTCTCTTATTACATATAACTATATAATATACTTATATACTAAATATACTTATCTACAATATATATTTTACAAGTTAAATTTTACAGCGTCACATACATAAAACTTCGCTGTCTCAAGATGCTTCGTTCTGTTTTTTCCAAGCCTTCGCAGATGCAAGGAATTTAAGATTCGGTCTCTGCGACTCATCCTCGGGGAACACAAAGTCAAACACCTCTTCCCAGCCGTCGTCATTGCCATCCTCGTCGACCACACGTCTCCTCTTCTTCACACGTCGTGGCATCTTCTCCATGATCTTGGAGAGAGTGTCAGCGATACCTTTTTCGTTCTCGAAGTCTTTCCACGCTTCCAATAACAGTACACGACTCTCCGTATCGCCACTGGATCTCAAGGCGTCGTTACCGCGTTCAAAGATACGTCTCGCCAGGACAACATTATCCGGCGCATCGTCGTTGCCTGGATTAAGAAGCTCGAACTTGGCATACGCTATCCATACCTTTACGTGCAACGTGCGCTCCAGAAGTCGCTCGAACAACTGCCTGGCATTCTCCGTTTCACCTTGCGCGATCTCGAAGTCGATATACGACTTCCACAGCAGTTCCGGCATGTCCAGCCGCGGCCGTGCGATCGCGAATTCGTATATGGCACGCGCACGCTCAATCTCGCCCAGCCGCGTCTCCAGCTCGGCAAACCTCATCCACGTTGTGCAGTTCTCCGGGCCGAACTCGAGGAACTTCTCGTACAGCTTGCGGCAACGATCAAACTCCACTAGTTGTATCTCCAGTTCGATATAGCCGCGATACAGCTTGTCGGTAGGGCAAACGCCCAAAGCAAATCCCAAAGTTTTCCTCGCCTTCATCAGATCTTTTTGTCGGATCTCGAAGTACGCATAGAGCAGCCAAATCTTCGAGAAGGTGAAACGCTTGTGTGGTATCAGCTCTAGACATACCTTGTACACTTGTCGACACCGCTCGACATCTTTCGCTTCCAGTTCCTCGAAGAGCGCGTACTTGATCCACAGGTAGATATACCTGCGCCAGAACTGCTTCTCTTTCGTGGGCGGCACATTGGCGATCGCACGCTCGTAAGTCTCACGGATCATGTCGACGTTACCTTCGGACTCTACCAGCCGCAGATAGTCGAACCATGCGTCGTAATTGGCCGGATTCTCCTTGACCTCCTGTTCGTACTGATGCTTTCGCTTGCTGACTATAACATCCTCGATGCCCGAGCGATCGCCGTACTTCTTCTCGTGGATCGTGTACGCCTTGTAGATCTCCTGGGTATTGTTGCGCGGTATGTGCTCCAGCGCGTACTTGTAGATGATACGGGCGCGGTCGTGTTCTCGCTGGGCTTCCTCGAACTTGGCAAATGCCAAGAACAACCGTTCGTCCAAACCCTCGTCGCCGTAGAAATTCACCGCGCGCTCGTAAACTGTGCGCGCTCCCCTGATGAAGCCGTACGACTCCTCGAAGCGCGCATACTTGATCCAATGGCGAACGTCCGGATGTACCATCACGAAACGCTCGTAGATCTGCCGGGCGCGTTCGATCTCTTTGTAACGTAGTTCGAACTTGATATACGTCTGCCAGGCCTGCTCATCCGGCTCCCACTCCATCCACCGTTCGAACACCTGGCGCGCACCAGCTATGTTCTCCAGGGTCTCCTCCATATACGTGTATTTGTACCAAAATTGATTGGCGCGCGGCAACAGCGTGACCGCGCGATCCCACAGATTACGCGCGTGGTTCACTTGACGATTACGCATCTCCATTTCCGTGTACTTGAGCCAGAGCGCTATGTTGCGATGATCCACCTCGAGCGCGCGCTCGTATATGGACCTCGCGCGCTGAATCTGCTTCTGGCTCTCCTCCCATTGCGCGTACTTCATCCAGTTGGTGATGATCATACGGTTCTTACGGATTATGTCCTCGAAAGCTTTGCGCTTACGATGCTGATAATCCGCAAGCTCATGCGGGTCTGAGATCTTCTGCTTCGGCGGTGGTGGCAGTATCTCCAGGTCGCGCTCCTTCGCCTCGCGCAGCAGCTGCTCCGCGGTGATCTGGATCTCCGCAGGCGCCTTGTTTTTCACCTTAGCCACCTTCGGCATCTTCTGCGACTTCTCCATGATTCTTTGCTGCACAGATATTGCTGTGTTAGTTTGACCTGTAATATTTATGTAGCACTCACGATTACACAATGTTATTTTTATGACATATATAGCTAATAAGATTTGGATTAATAGCCTACATCAAATATTAATAAATATTACAAATATCGTTGAGCTTTTAATATCATAAGGATTCTAATGTATGATTTTATATAAAATAAAATCATTAGATTTTTCAAATTTTACAGATTATATAAATTAAAATATATAAAAAAACTTACAAGAGAATGTGTGAGAGAGAAAATATATAAAATATATAGGATTGGCTAAAACATTCAATTATACATCACATTAGTTCCTGATATTCTAGAAAAACCTAATTTCTCATGCATTTCCAACATTGTAGTTAAACTTTTTGCCTGCATTCATTGATTCCGAGAGAAAATTTTACAACTAAAACTAAACAACCATTACTGTTGCAAGAAAAATCAAACTTTTCTAGAGTGTCAATAACTAAGAAGAAAGAACATCCTGAGTAAAAATATATTTTGTTTCACTTAAACTTATTGCACCAATATATACCTGTTCAGGAAGTTCTTCGAAAAAGAATAAGTCTAATTGAATGTTTCATCTTACTCATCTATGCCACCTATTTTATGTGTGTATGATACAAAATTTTATATTATTACGTATTTTAAAGAATTGTTTACAAAAATGGGTAATTATACAGTTTACACTCCTCACTTCCGATTTTGATGAAAAAATACTCAATCGACGCGTTTTTTAAAGGCAAACAACTTTTCTATTTGGAAAAATCGTCGCTCTCTACTGCGAAGCAAAATATTAATTGACAAAGTTGATCACTGTTAAGGTTAGGTAATTATTCAGTTCACACACATCACCTCCAGTATCGATGAAAATATACTCAATCGGCGCGTTTTTGCATGTAGAATAAGAATTTGACAAAAATAAACGTCGCTCTACCCCGCGAAGTGAGAAATTAATTGATAAAGTTGATCAATACTAAGGTTAGGAAAACTGTCATACGACAATATACAGCACCTTAATTTGATGGCTCCTGCTATCCTGGCGGCATGGGAGGAGATAGTATTTAAAAGGAAGTTTTAAAACTTTTTTTTAAATAATATTACCTCCCATACCGCCAGGATAGCAGGAGCCACCGAACTAAGGCTTACAAACGTCTCAGTTCGTTCACGGGGCACGTCTTTGACGCTGTATATCGTCGGTGTGACAGTTTTACTAACCTTAATAGTAATCAACTTTGTCAATTAATATTTCATTTCGTAGTAGAAAGCGACGATTTTTGCAATCATACTCATGTATGATAGTTAGGTTAGGTTAGATTTAGTATGTACTTGATACGTATCAATATACTTGATATGGATCGTGTATGTTGATTTCATCTCTTCTTTTTATACAATTTGAGTATTTACATACAACTTACAAAACTTTGTAGTTAATTGACTCCTCTCTCACATCTTTTTATGTTTATTTTTATAACAGTTTTCTAGAGGTTAGGTTTACACACATTCCTGATATAATCAAAACAGTAAATTTAATTAATTCAAGTTTCATCTAAATAATAGATATTGATAAAATATACTTACAAAATCACTCTTCAGACACTACAAATTGTAATAAACTATAGTGATAAAATAGACACTGCACGTCTATCAATGGTGTCTTCGTATACACATGTACAGTCTGGAAAGAATCTCTCTCTCTCTTTCTCTCTCTTTTTAAGCTTCGTCTACAATATGCGGGGTAAGCCATAAGAATTAGCCAATCATAACTGATTATTTTTGTAATAATCAACTATGATTGGTCAACTTGCTAAAGCACTTCAAAGCATTTGTGGCGTCTAAGTTCCGATCCACAATTGGTGTAGCAAACTTTATTGCAGATCACACCGCGTCCAATATTCGATGTACGACGTCCGATATCCAATAAGAGAACAGCTTTCTATTAGAGAATTCAATTCTCCATTGGAAAGCTGTTCTCTTATTGGATATCGGACGTCGTACGTCGGACATCGGACATGGTGTGAAGGTGCCTTTACATGGGAGCATCGAGCGTCGAGCGTTAAAGCGGTAGCCAATCAACGTGCCGCTTTCCGCAAGAACTACAAGTATACTTCTGGAACCTGATACGTTGATTGGCTAACACTTTAACGCTTCACGCTGGAACGCTCCCATGTATTGGCACCTTAAATCTTCCATAAACCTTAAGGGGTTACACCACAGTAGAGAGCGAAAATTTAACGTTTTTTTGCGATTTTTTTTTAAGTGGAAGGAAAAGTAAAAGGGTAATTCTTTTTAAGGATGTTGTTAAGCATGTTTTGAAGTTTTAAAAAAAATTTTGTTTATTAAAAAATATTACAAAATGGCTGCCCAACAGCCGTTTCTGCGGAACGGTTTTTTTTTAAGGGGCTTCGCGGCACGCAGTAGAAGTGTAGCAAAAATTAATCTGGAACAAAATAAAAAATTTTTTCTTAAACTACATTAGTATAGCTATAAAAATACGTAGGGGATTTTGAAAATATTCATTTTTGTTAAATTGGCGAGCATTTGAAAAAAAAAGTTCATTTTACTACCAAAAAACGGGCACTTATTTGTACCTAAAAAATCGAAATATTAACTTATCGAAAATCGGCTACGTATTTCTATGCGGAATGTTGTTTTAAAGATGTGATATTAATTTGGAGTGAAAAAATAGAAAATTGTTTGAGTTATGCTGCGTGCCGATTTGAAAAAACGTGTTTCGAGAAAAACGCGTTTAAAGTTTTGACTCGTGTTTCAATCTTAATAAAATAAAAATTTGGATTATTAAAAATTTTTTACCTTTAATCTGCTATTCCAGCACCGTAAAGCTGACCTTCCAGGTTGCTTAACTCCTCCTCGTTTTCTTTCCTGGACGCTTTTATGCTGGAGCGAGCCTCTTTCGCTGCGTCCGTCAAAGAGCGGTCCGCGCGTTGTATTCGAGCAGCGTCCGTTTCTAAGCAAAAGTTGTAGGATTGTGGTCCAATGTTCATGTCCATCACTTTCATTATTCTTAAAACGTTTATCAGTCCATCATTAAAATTACAAACAGCAATGTCACTTGCTATTTGTAATATTTTCTTTCCGCTTGAATAATTTTTAGGAGCCAAGTGCCAGACTGTAGAATTAAAACTTTCGTTGCTGTTCTGCGTATAGCCTCCCAAGCAACGATTCAGCAACTCGTCACGGCTCAAATCCTCGTAGATTGGTCTGATGGCTTCAAAAACTTCGTTCGATAGTGCCGGCTTATGATGAAAGGAGTCTAAGGAACCCGTTGCTTGCGCCTTCTTCCATTCGCACCAAGACTCTGAGCATTTTTCGTGCTGTGGATTTTCGTCAGTTGACATTTTATGAAATAATGTCGCCCAGATTTCATTTCTCATATTTTCCAACGAGTTTGAATTCCGTCGAATGGCCAAGCCATAATAAATTGTTAACTGATCAATTAATTTCATAGTTAATTTTCCTTTTCCTCCAAGATTTTTTGTTTTTTTTCTCAAATTTCTCAACCGAGTGCCCATTCGTTTTTGTACATGATCAATACATTCTTTTTTTGACACTTCAAAATTTTCATACGGTTTTGCATCCAATATCCC